TTTTAAGTTAATGTTTAGCATGGGGACAAATATGAAATAGCAAACTTACAACATTTTGGACTGATCTCGTCGTACAAAAACTTGACAAAAGTCTTTATTTCCTCTAAAGATTAAGAAAAAGTAATATTGTACATTAAAGTAATAAATTCTCCAATGTTCCTGATTGGCTCATGTTTTAAGGCAGACTCAAACAGAGAGGAAAAGCATCAACACAACATATTCACCTCCTTGTTTTTCCTCCCTTCTCCTATTCTGCCCATTCATTGAAGGAACCACTATGTCTTAATTTAATTTAAAGCTTTTGAATTACACACACACGCACACACACACACACACACACACTTTCATGTTTTCCTAACCAAGAAAAACATTGAATATGTAAAAACCCTGGAATTGGACCCATTTGCAATTGGACAGGTATTCCTTGTTAACAATTACCTCATTTAGCAACCCTTTGCAGTTACAACAATGATGAAGTAACTTTATAATTAAGTCTCTCATTTACAACCTTTGCAGGTCTCTAAAACAAAGGTGAAGTAAGATCATAAGCACAGTTGCAAGTTCACTTTTTAACCATTTCCTTTAATGACTGAATTGTCGGTCCCAACTGTGGTCACTAAACAAGTACTGTCCATACCTATGCTGTCAGTGTCAACACTTCAAACTGCATTTACTCTAGTGCTGACATAAGAAGGAGAAGCAAAGGCATCTGGAAAGGGACGTTTGACTTTTCACCTACTTATTTTCCCTGGAGATAATATCCCCTAGGAGATGGGATGGGAGGGGGGAAATTCCTTTGAGCTGGAGTAGATTAGGGGTAGAATGACTTGGAAGGTGGCCAATGAGTGCAGGGGAGTGGGGAATGGAAAGGGAGGGTTTTGGGGCTGGACGTCAGTGTTGGCTTCGATTGGAGTCGGGTTGTGCTTAATAAATAGGAGTTTTTCTTCAAAGACTTTGTTTGAAATGCAATTTATTTGAGACAACCTCGAAACTTGACAGTCAGTTGCTATTCATAAGTATTTGTATGTTTTAGACAAAGCATAGAAATTATTTGAGCATTATTTATTTTTCTTCTTGTCATTCCATTTATGCAACATCCAATCAAGGAAATGCACAGTTAAAAAGATTGGCTGGAATTGATGTGGATGGTGGGAAAAACTTAAGGACAACATCAGGACAGAAGGTAAAAAAGAAGAGGCATATTATGTGGCTAGACAGGTTATTGGAAATATTGATGATGAGAAGGAAATAATGGGATCTCTCTCTAGCAGCTCTAAGCATCTGGCCTAAATACTAGGAATAGATGCCATCCTTCTAATATATTTTCACTGTTAGGTTACAATTCTATGACTTGAAGAATAGCAATCAGACATCATAGAATAGTTAGAAGCTTCTTCTTTGTGTTTATCTATTTACCTATCTATCATCTATTAATCTAATTTTATGGATGTACCATATGCTATTGCTGCTATTACTAAATTGAAATGCTAGTAGTTAATGGAATTTATGTCCATTAATAATCTGTTGTATATTGCAGTAATTTTAACATTTGTCACTACTGCTTACTGAATAATGTCCTTCCAAAATGCAGAATGTGGATTTTGGACCTCTAGTAAGGTTTTTTGACAAACTACTTTTGACCGATGCTGATTTATTCCCCCAAATTGTCCTGTATTGTAAATATTACAGATGGGAGCTTCTGTTTGCAAGTACAATTTATTTTGTGTTAAAGTTATTTCTGTTAAGAAAGAAACTGTCTAAGAACAAGCTTTGTAATAAACAGCTTAGAACCTGGGTAATAAATAAACATTATCTAATACTGTATCTCGTAGTTTTTTGGAAGATATATGTTCCATGACTCATGGATTTTCAGACTCTAAATTTTATTAAGATGAACTACAGCCAGGTAAATGATCTAACCAAAAAAACTTGTTTCTCAAATTAAATGTAAATATGTCAAAAGAATCTGAAGTAGCTTTAGTTAACCTTATCCCCCAATAAAACTGGGCAACACAGAAAAAGTCTGTGTCAACATGATTCACTTCCTTTACTTCAATAATTCAGTAAATTCTCTTTCTCTCTTTGGCTTCCCAATCTACCCATCAGTCCTGAAATTTGCTGTGCTCCACCAGCCAAGTACAGGACTAAAAAGATCTGGCCTCATTAGCTTCTGAGATCAGCCAGAACTAGTTAGACACAGCAATCTGCTAAGGCTGTATTTATTTACTCAGGCTTACTTACTAACTATACTTAGTGATATTTATTCAGAGGTAAAATGCCTATGATGTAATAAAGTATAACAATTACAACTAACAGCCAATCAAACTTTAGTAGGATTGAGATGTGAAGGTCATTATCAGTTCAGTTTATCATTATCATCATTTATTGGTTTATCATTATTTCTATCATGTCATACAACAGGTGGAGTTGACTGAAGCATTGGGCAAACACAATGCATTTGTCTGTATACAAAATCTCATACTTAGGAAAAACAACATAGAAGATAATATAACTGCTTTATTTCAACCAAAACCTGTTCAGATGCAAGAATTTTACTAATTGTTGTTATTCTGGTGGATTGGATCTAATACCTCTGGAGCTTCCCCAGTCAAAGGTGCTCAATAATTAGTCCAATAATTCTGGTGTTGAGATGAGTTTTCCTAGATAATTCATGCTTCTCTCTACAAAAGAAATATATATATATATATATATATATAATTTTGTTACCAATTTGTAGTCACCACACTTAGATTTGTGGTATCTGTCAGCCTGGTTAGGCCTGTCAGATCACTGTGCTGACTTGGACTATCATAACCTTCCATTTTGATGGAATGGGATCCAGCATGGTATAGTGGTGGAACTAGGGTGGGAAGATTGGACTCAGCTGGGCCTTCAGCCACGTAGTTGACTTGTAGACCTTGTAAGAGAAGAATCATGTTAATCTATGGTAGCAAAAAATCTGGATTTCTTTTTCCAACCAACAACTTCCTTTTTATGACTCTGTAATCCCTTAACAGGGTGAACTCCTGTTACTTCTCCCAGCTTCTGCCAACCTAGCAATTTGAAAGCACGTAAAAAATGCAAATAGAAAAATAGGGACCACTTTGGTGGGAAGGTAACAGTGTTCCGTGCGCCTTTGGCATTTAGTCATGCTGGCCACATGACCATGGAGATATCTTTGGACAGTGCTGGCTCTTCAGTTTAGAAGCAGAGATTAGCACCACCCCCTAGAGTCAAGAACGACTAGCACATATGTGCGAGGGGAACCTTTACCTTTAATCTCTTAATTCATGGTAAATTTTATTAAAAGAAATAAACTTTCAAACTTCACTTGGAGGATTTGAACAAGTAAGCAAACCTAGATCTCAAACTGATGAAAAGTTCATTCAGTTTTTCAACAGAAGGATGATCGTTCTGTTTTGATAAAGTTAGAGCCATGTCCTTTCTGAATCAAGCACAATATATATGGAGAGATCTGTGTTCGCCTAATTTTAGTTTTTGCCAAATTGAATTTCCTGGATTCCTTTTCTGTTGTTCCTGGGAAAGCTTATGTGATAATTTTCATCCTTACTTAAACATGCAAACCTTGGATTTTCATGGTAACACCCAGGGTTATCTTTCTAGCTTCTGTTTCTATTACAGTTGCCTTAAAAAAAAAATCAAACAAATAGACCTAACAACTCAGTTACAAAAAAAACCAACAAAACAACTTTCTGTAATTTAGTTCTAAAGCCTACTGACAGGTTAAGAATTCTAAATTGTTCAGCTGAATGAGCCCCGGTAATCATTCTAAAAACTTAGGTCATAGACAGTTCTGGGTTGCAGATGCCCCTTTGCAAGAAAGAGCAGGAAAAAACCGGCAGGGAGTGGAAATGACTGGCAAGGAGATTAGAAAGCTTGCCTCCTATTTTTAGAATAGCAACAAAATCATCAAGAGTATTAGCCCTTCGGGCATGTCAATGGTAGCTTAACTCTTTGAAGCTTCAGATGACTTAGAAAAGAAAGAAAAAAGACTGTGGTGAACAAACCTCTATTGAAAATACTTATACTGAAGTACTTTTCTCCACTGTTTTAATTCAGAAGATGGACATTTAGGACACAGACGTGTTAATATGTGCATAACCCTTTACATGTATAAAAATACTTTAAAATAAAAATGTAGGTTAAAGTGTTGTAAATGGCTTAATAATCACAATTAAATTTTGACTGGCACCAACAGAGGCAGATTTGTACATAAACAGAGCTTTATTTGCTTATCTTTACTGAGGGAAGTAAGTTGAGTCATGGCAACTGTACTTCTCTCCTTGTTGGTTTGAAATATTTTGTTGACTCAACTTCCAGACTACTCTACCTGGATGACTGAGAATCTTCATTGACTTAAGACAGTTAAGCATTTTGCTTTGCAAAATCTAGAGAGAATGCTACATGGTTTAGTTTCCTTTTAATAACAGATTGTTAGCAGTTTCTGTTTTTCTCATATTCAATTAAGAATGCAATTGAATTGGAAAAAATAGATCTGTTAATGAACCTGCATTAGATTCTCTAAGTAACCTGTTGGAATCAGTCTCTTTTCAGACCAGCTAAATTCCCTTTCAAAAACTCTCAAAGTCAAGTGTGGCACCAGCAAAGATCTCAGGGTACAGGATCAGAGATACTTGGGAGCATCCAGGAGTCCTGCCCATCAGATTGTTGAGTGCAAATTCCTATTTGTTCAGTTGGGCACCAAGAGGGTTCAGTGGGGACTGTTGCTGTTGTACTAGCCTCTCTGCTGTGCAGCAACCTCCCTGACTGAGCTTCTTGACTCTGGCTTGGTTGGTGGTAGATTTCCTGGGGAAATCCACCCAGGCTTATGATCTTGGGGAATCTTAACTTGCCTTCCCTAGGCATAGGGTCTGAGGCAGCTTGGAAGTTCATGGCCAGCATGGACCTGTCCCGAGTCATCCAGGGCCACATTCATAATAGTTCTCATATGCTTGACCTGGTTTTTCTGTTACAACAGCGGCAAGATGCTCTGGATTTGGAGAAGATATTGATTTCTTTCCTGTCATGATCAGAACACCCCATGGTGAGTCTCCAGTTCATTGCACGATAAAATAACTCAGATTCGGGAAGGCTTGGTCTCTGACTGGGTAGGTACAGACGGAATGATGGGTGGCGGTCTTGAGACTGTCATTTGGGAGGAGTTCGACCCTGTTGCTCCTGAGGACGTGGACAGGATACTGAGGTGGCTGAACGCGAACACATGTTTATTGGACCTGTGTCCCTCCTGGTTGGTGCTGGCCTCCTGGGAGGTTACGCGAGGCTGGCTCCAGGGGATTATCAATGCTTCTTTGAGTGAGGATGTCCTGCCATCTGCCTTGAAAGAGGCGGTGGTGAGGCCCCTTCTCAAGAAGCCTGCTCTGGATCTGGCTGTTTTGGCTAACTATTGTCCGGTCTCCAACCTTCCCTTCTTGGCGAAGGTTGTTGAGAGTGTGGTGGCGCGACAGCTTCCTGGGTACCTGGATGAAGCTGTCTATCTGGATCTGCTCCAGTCCGGCTTCAGGCCTGGGCACAGCACGGAAACGGCATTGGTCACGTTGGTGGATGATCTCTGGAGGGTTCGGGATAGGGGTTGCTCCTCTATCCTGGTCCTGTTAGATCTCTCAGCGGCTTTTGATACCATCGACCATGGTATCCTGCTGCGCCGGTTAGAGGGGTTGGGAGTGGGGGGAACCGTTCTGCGGTGGTTCTCTTCCTATCTCTCCGACCGGTCGCAGTCAGTGTTGGCAGGGGGCAGAGGTCGACCCCTTGTTTGTGGGGTGCCTCAGGGGTTGGTCCTCTCACCCCTTCTGTTCAACATTTATGTGAAACCGCTGGGTGAGATCATCCGTGGCTTTGGGGTGGAGTTCCATCAGTACGCTGATGACACTCAGCTGTACATCTCCACCCCAGGCCATCCCAATGATGCCCTTGAAGTGGTGTCCCAGTGCCTAGAGGCCGTGTGGATCTGGATGGGGAATAACAGGCTTCGACTCAACCCTTCCAAGACCGAGTGGCTGTGGCTTCCGGCATCCTGATATAGCCAGCTGGTGCCATCACTGGCTATTGGGGGCGAGTTATTGGCCCCCACAGACAGGGCTCGCAACTTGGGCGTCCTCCTGGATGCACGGCTGTCTTTAGAAGAGCATATGACGGCCGTGGCCAAGGGGGCTTTTTATCAGGTCTGCCTGATTCGCCAGTTGCATCCCTTTCTGGATCGGGATTCCTTATGCACAATCACTCAGGCGCTCGTCACTTCCCGCCTGGACTACTGCAATGCTCTCTACATGGGGCTCCCCTTGAGGACCACCCGGAGGCTCCAACTGGTGCAGAATGCGGCTGCGCGGGGGATTATGGGAGCGAGGGGGTGCTCCCATGTGACACCTCTCCTGCGTGAGCTGCATTGGCTTCCAGTGGTCTTCCGGGTACGCTTTAAAGCGCTCCATGGCATAGGACCTGGGTATTTGCGGGACCGCCTTCTGCCGCTGATAGCCTCCCACCAACCAGTACGCTCCCACAGAGAGGGACTCCTCAGGGTGCCGTCAGCCAGGCAATGTCGGCTGGCGACCCCCAGGGGGAGGGCCTTCTCTGTGGCAGCTCCTGCCCTCTGGAACAATTTGCCTCCGGAGATACGAAGATCTCCGGGCCTTTCGCCGTGCCCTGAAAACTTTTCTTTTCCATCAAGCAGGGCTAGTGTGAACTCCCTCCCCCTTTTTTAGTCTTTTTTAGTTTTTTAGTTTTTAAATTGTCATTGGGTTTTAATTGAATTGTTTTAAATTTGGGCCAGTTATGTAATTCTTTTAATAATTTTAAATTTTGTATTGGTATGTGTTTTAGTTCTGGCTGTGCACCGCCCTGAGTCCACTAGGAGAAGGGCGGTATACAAATTGAATAAAATAAATAAATAAAATAAATTGGAAACCCTTACCCCTGGGAGGCTGGGTCTATTAGATCAGCCCACTCCAGGTGACAGATGGACCCAACTGGGTTCCAGAAAGAGCTTGTCATTTTTCTGGAAAGTCTACTCAGTCTGGCAAAGCCTTGGTGGTCACTTGGAATGGAAGAATAATCACAGCTTTGGACAAAATTGCAGAAGAATGGCCTCTCCGTGCCCACAGTTGCCATAACTCCCTATAGTAGAAGGAAGGGCTGAGGAAACTAAAGAGGGCTAAGAGATGCCTAGAACACCACTAGCAAACAATGGGAAGTGAAGACAATCCGGCATGAGCTAGAGCTGCTGTTATAGCTTACCTTGTGGTGATTATAGCTGCAAAACGTAACTATTTCTCTGTCCTTACTGTATCTGCAGATAAGTCTCCCAGCAGCCCTGTTTTGGGTGACTCTGTCTCTCTTCGGAGGGGATAATATTGAGAGTCATTTACAGGGTCGCTGTGAGAAATATGCTGTACATCTAGCAGATAAATTTGCTTTTATTCACTTTATGTTGGAGTCCAACCTTGGGGCAGGATCAATGGAAGTTACGTGGGCTGAGCCGCCCGAGGGGAGTTTGATCCCATTGAACCTGAGGAAGTGGACCTTGCAGCTACTAATTCAGCCACTTCTGTGTTAGATCTGTGCCTTTCCTGCTGGTTAAGACTGCTTAGAGAAGAAGTATGATTGGGTCTGGGTAGTAGTTATTCTTCCTTGAGGAAGAGGCGCTCCCACCGGCTCTTAAGGCGGCAGTGGTAAATCCTCTCCTCAAGGAGACATCATTTGACTAAACTAGTTTGAACAGTTATCATATGAAGGTATTTCCTTACTTAAACAGAGAAACAAAATGACCAAGGATGGGTGGGGGGGGAAGCAGTGGGAGTGGCAGTGACTTCTGACTTCCTGCTGGCTTCCCCACTGAGTTTCCTTGTAGGAAGCTGGCAGGGATCATTGGTAATGACAATCTCGTGATTGCCTCTCCAACACAGCTTTGCTAAATTTCAAACTCATGGGAGTAATGGGTTCTGGATTTTTGATGTATTCATTACATTTAATTTGATGAAACGCTCCAGTAATTCGAGAGTTTGAAAACGTGCTAACCAAGAGAGAGATGAGAAACATGCATTCAGCCAACATTCCAAACTGGAAGATAGGAGAGTTTTAGTAGTATATAGATTTGAAATCCAAACAATACCTTAAGGAAGCAACTGCACATTTGTATAAACTATAAACAACTTTGAGATTCCTTTTAATGAGCTTTGCAGAAAGAGGTCTTTTGAAGGAATCAACTTCAGTTACTTCGAATGGTCCCCTTTCTAAGCTAAATTTCCAGGAGATAATTTTATTGTCGTAGTAATAGAAAAAAACATTTCAGTAGAGCTTCCCTGAATTCCTCCTTAGTTACCATCACAGAGTCATAAAGTGTAAGATCAGGGTTCCATACAACAACAAGGCTGATTTACCACATTCTTTAAAAATCAAACAACTACGTACCTTGCCTGATAAAGGAAATGCTACCTATATCAGTATTTTATAATAGGTCTATGACTACGTAATAAAATTGCTTTTGAAATACATATTGCCATGATGATGGGATATCTTGTTAAGACCATCATGGCCAGAATCTAGAAGTATAAAACTACACCACTGGAACAATGGGAGTACTAACTGAGCATAATCTTCTCTGAACTCAAGCTTACTTTTAAGTAAACACAGAAAAATCTACTAGTTACTAGAGTAACTTATAGACACTTTTGTGTTTTCTATTTTTGCAGTATTTTTGTTACCACTTAATTGATCCAAATCCTGTTCTCTTTCAAATTTTCTTGTTAAAACTGGATTTTAAGGGAGTTCATTATCTCAGGTGCTTGTAAGTCAACCTTTCCTCACTAATTACTCATTACTACTTTCTCTTTAGCGTTCTTTTGCCTGCAGATATATTTGTAAACAGCCTGTTTCCCAACCCTTAATCCTTCTGACCATCCTTAAGTCATTCTGGTTTGCGCTGCTTTTAATGTTTTCCGTTTGCAAGTTTAATTGACCTTTCACATTCCCAGTGTTTAATTTACCATTTCATCAATAATATTAATACTGTGAATATTAATATGTGGTGCTTTCATTATTGGGATGCTTCAGAAAAATGTAATATGTCAGCAGCCAGAGCTGATTAGAATGAAACTAGATAGGAGAAAGGAAAGAGAGAAGTGAAATCTTGTAGCAATGAAATAATTAAGCAAGGTCTTCTGTACAAAAGAATGTTCATGGCCCAAATGTCTAGAAAGATAATACATGTTTACCATCCCTTCCCACACCCTTTTTTTACCTACATCTCCATAATAGAGTATAGTTTTAATTCCTATTGGAGAAAGTCCCATATTTAAATTTCATCTTTAATGCACATTGTAAAGGCAATGTAAGGATGTGTTAATTTTTGATAAGCAAGGCATTCATTTAATATGTGGCGTATGCTCAGGAACTGCAGAACAGTTGTATAAAATGGCCAGGGCCACATTCTGCATTTGGGCATCATCAGGATATTTTGTGGTAAAAAAATCAAGCTTATTTTAGAATATATGTTACAATTTTCAGATCTTTCTTTATCTCACCGCAGATCAGCAATCAGGATCTGGGAGGCTCTGCTAGCTGCAAAAAAAGAAAGAAAAAGAAAAAGAAAAGAGCCTTGGGACAATAAATTACCAATTCTTGGTATATGTTTGGAAAGAAGATGAAGTATTGCATAAAATTTGTATATGGCCTTTGTCAGCTGGAAAATCAGAATACAGCAGTATTTAAAGAAGGCTGGTCCCATGAGTCTTTTACCCTTATCTAACTGTATAAATAGCAATCTTTCATTAGGTGCAGTTTTCACCATCACAGTAGGTGGAAGAGGTCATACCTGATAACTGTTTTGAATATTCCTTTTTCTTTTTAATTAATTTTTCACAGAATAAAAATAATACAAATGTAAAAGAAGGAAAAGTAAAAGAAAAATAAAGTAAAAAAGTGATAAGAAATAAAAGAGACAGAAAAGAAAGAAAAATAAAGATTTAGAATAGAATAGAATAACAGAGTTGGAAGGGACCTTGGAGGTCTTCTAGTCCAACCCCCTGCCCAGGC